CCTCCCCGCCGCCCGGTGGGAGCCCGGGGAGGGGTCCGGGCAGGATCCCCCCGTGTATTTTTCCACTTGGAAAACTCGCGGTTGTTGGGGATGCCTGTCTGGGGGCGAGGAGAGGCGTTTCTCGGGAGCTCTAAGGCGAGGAGAAACCAGCCCGGGAAGAGATGGGTCTCGGAAGTGTCCGTCACCGTCAGGCTGGATAAAACTCTAACGCACCCAGTTTGCGGCATCGGTTTCATTAAATTCATGATGAAACGTCCTCTGACCTTTTTTCACTTAGGGAAAAGTCAGGTGGTAGAGCTAATGTTTGAATGCATCTACTGTGATCTAGTGGTGAGGAGCCCTACTAAAACCCATCCACTTCCCAAAATAAATGGTTCTCGGTTTATATGAGGTTGCCAAGGAGCTTCTATTTATATGAATTTTCCACTCCACAGATAATTTCGTATATCTTCATATATTTTAATTTTGCACCCATTACTTTCTTACCAGCTCTTAAAAAACTCTTGGGTCCGATATTTCCCTTTCTGCCTCCGGTGCCGTGTTTGTGTTGAATTCTAATCGTTCTCTGCAGAGAGGCATGGGACAGACGGCTGCTAACAAATGACACTGGGCCATATTTGGTCACATTTGCTCACAGTGACTCATACCTTAATCTGCAAGTAGCTTTATTGATTTTAGTACCTACTATTTCTCCAAGAGCTGTCACCGCTTTGGTGGTGGTTCGTCACCACCTTTCATCTCTTACGGTTATGAAACTGTAAAATGTCCGATCTCCTTCGAATATCTCTTCATCCTGCAAAATTTTGACGTGGCAGTCTTTCTTGCTCCTTTTTTATCGTTTTCCTTTCATTTTACCTGGTACCACGAGTGTTGTCTTCAGTGGTTTGGTGGCTGTCAGGTGTCTGTGTCCAGCATGAGATGCTTTTTTAATGTGGTATTTGACGTAGGCATGGTCTCTCTCCAAGTTTGTCATTCTCAGCACCTCTCCATTTGGAAAACCGCTTGATTTTTCAGCATCATTCAATAATTTCTTATTTCAAATGGTCTGATAGTCCTCACTATTTATTTTTAGTGGCCGCCATTCATAGCCATGTATGCTGGAGGATTATGTCTCGCATTTCATTAATCTAAGGTGACTGGATGCACACATTTGCCTTTGTACAGCAAGTCCTTTATTTCATTTCTTTATCACACCGGTATTGTTGAGCTCTCAGAAATGCCCAAAGAAAATGCAAACTGGCTGCCATTTAGTAACCATACATTGCTTCCTAAATACAGTGGCATACGAGTGTCCTGCCGTGAGAAATTCTGGAAAGGTGGATGCATCCCGAGGGACAAATTTTCCTCAGAGCTGTAAGTCTTACCATGAATCACTATAGTAAATCACCACTGAGCACTCGAAGATGTAGCTGCTAGAATTTTTTTAATCAGATACGCAAACAAAGAGAGCATCCATAAGATTTCGGGAGATCTAGTTCATTCCTCTAGCAAAAAATAGTCGTGTCAAGTGCTGTAAACAGCATCTGTAAGAAACAGTACCTCTGAAAGTTGTTGAAAATCAGTAGGTTTCTTAGACCTGGGAAAGAAACAGGTAGCACAACGTAAAATACATATGGATAGACGCTTTCACAGCTCCCTCCCCTTTGAGCTAACATTAGATTGGGGCTAAGAAACTGGGGCTAGCAAAAACAGGCTTGTCAAAGTGGTCCTTAAAATGGAGGTGATGGCTTTTGGGGCATGAAGAGCTAGAAAGAACTAACTGAG